GGTAAGCACCAATTCAATCATGTATCCCTAACGCAGTAAATGAAAGTAAAAGGCTGAATATATATAAAGAACGTGGGACGAGAGTAGATTAATCTACGTCTGCCATGTACTTAATAAATAGTAATAAATTTCGGATGCAGGAATATTAAATTAATCCAGAAGGAGATTCATTACTTAGAATCAACAAAGCTAACATCAATTAAAGACAAATTTGGTCGTGGATTAACTAAATTACATTTTAATAATTCATATGATACAGGTTGTTTGACCTTGTTTTCGCAACTTAGTCATATTGGTAGGAAGACGTAGAGGAACACACCTAGTCCGGAGTCCATTGTATGCATGATCAATTCCAGAGTAGGACCGTGTAGTTGGCACATTCCCAGATGTTTCGCCGGCAACGTAGTTGGCAACGTCAGTGAGTATCGCCATTCTAAGCACTACAAAACAACTCGTCAAAGAGACAAGTGAAGCCGATTCTTTGACCAAACGTGTGCTAAACAGTTGTGGTATCACCCCCTCTGCCCTGGGCTATTCACATTTACTTGTAAAAACAAGGTCAAATATCCTCTATACAACGAAAGGAGACTGCAACCACACGAAAGGCCACACCATCTTGATCTTCATACCTTCAATTCATATGATATCCTAATGGTTTACATTGAACAGGTTATGTAGAGGATTGCATAAGAACTGATAGTATCGATGCAAAGATAATGTGATATGGGAAAACGCCTGGTCCTTAGTGAAATTCATATCTGCCCTGTGACCCAAGGGAACTTGTGGCAGTGCAGCGTAATAATTAACGTGTCTGGATTATATGCTCAACTGTGTTGGTTTGAGTCCCGCTGGGGATGTTGATAAAACCTAGACGAGGTCGAAATTGCAGCCCACTCTGGATGATAATACCTTTTTGGGAACGAAGGTCTATTAATATTATTGCGATAAAATTCATCTAAAGTCATCACCTTAAACGAAATAGGGTGAAGGCATCACATCTAATCTTCGGCGAATAGTTCGATCACAGGAGCATAATATCTTGCAATAATCAGATTTTGCTAATAGATCACATTATTTCTAAAAGGTGGCATGGCCGAAAAAATTGTGAGGGTTCCTTTGATCACAGTTTTTATCCCTCACTTTCTAACTAGCTCCCCTATCTTCTTAGA